TGAAAGTATAATGCTGATTAGAAATCAAAAATAGAGACAAAATTGAGAAATATGCAAGCATTTTTCTTGCTTTTTGTCAAGAAGTGCGAAGACAATTAAGTTTCTTTTCTTCACCATACATATAATACTCAGAAGTGAAAGCTTAATTAACTTGTCAGAAACAGTGGCATCTCTTTTCTTGAGCAGATGAACCTACCTTCCCAAAAGAGTGGAAGGAAAAATAAACTAAATGCTTTAGCTGAAGCACCTGATCATGCATGACTTTCCTGTTCTGTAATACAGTTTGTCTGTCATTACCAGAGGCTTTTTTAATACATCTGGGTGAGCACACTTTCACCATTTGTCTGGAATGTCTCAGGAGCAGAATTTCAATTGTTCTGTGATGATGGACACCTTTGTGATGGAGCATTGCTAATTACAACCTATGGCACTCGTGTTTGTCAGACAAACTCCAAGTTCTAGCTGAAGATCCTGGATCATTCTTGGATTTCTGTGTTCATTTATGGCTCCTTTGGGCTATCAGGTGCCCTGGGAAGCCTGCAACTCTGCAAACAAAGGAACACCTGTCTGAGGCATCCTCAGCAAGGTATTGAATAGAAGTGAGCAAATAGTGCCGAGATGCTGCGCTATGCCTGGTTCTTAGGCTGGGTCTACACTTTGAATTTAGCTACATTACTCTGGTGTGTAAAAAAATTCCCAAACCTGAGCAACAGTGTTAATCCTTATGGTAGATACCACTATGTCAACAAAAGAATTCTTCCATTTAACTAACTACTGCTTCTTAGAGAGGTTGCTTTTGACATTGATATCAAACCCCTCCTTCTCACACACAGGAGAGTTGCACACACTCTCCTGACGGTACAGTTCCTCTCCCCCATAGATGTAATTTCTTCATAAAAGAAACTATGGCCTTTGGTTTACAGGTTAGTAACATCTGTATTTATGTATAATAGCAGCCAAACTCAACTTCATTGGTTTTGTAGAGGTTTTCAAACCCGAACTTGCTTAAACTATAACTAAAAACTATCCTCCTGTAATCTATTCTTCAACATATACCTGTTTAAAAGAAGAGAGACAGAGACAGAGAGAGAAGAAAGGTCCAGTTGCTTCTACTGCATTAGTAATGACTCATCAATTTCTCTTTAATAATGCAACATAAAACGCAGCACATCAGCTATTTACTTTGTAACTTAAAAATCTATTAAGACGTTTCTTTATGGGGCCTGATGAGGGGAATTAAAATTGTTTCTTCACCATTTAGAAAATCTTTTGGGGAGCACTGTAAAGCAGAAGTGAAACTAAAATTAATTTCTTCCTGGTACAAGGGGGTTGCGCCAGCTAAAGCAGGGTAGGTGACCTCCCCACACAACCCTCCAAGTGACTCTGCCCTGCCCCCAATCTAGGCCCCCCCATGATCTTTCCCTCCCCATCCCACATTACATGGGGGAGAGGGGGAGACTGGGGCAGTACAGCTGGAGGAGCTGCCAATATTCTGTTATTTTACCTGTGGCCCCTCCCAGTGGGAAAAGGAGCCAGATCCCCAACACCCAGCCCTTTGTTTCCATAGAGTTGCATCTCCTCTGGCACTATATAGTGACAGCCATGCCATTCTGTATAGGACATGGGGGGAGAGCACATGGGGAAAGGAGCAGAATGCCAGCAGCCCCACCCTAGCTCTGTTGTCCTAAAAGGCAGCTCCATAGAGGTACTGGGGTGAGATGGTGTCTTCCAGGTGCGTTGTACCAGCTCTAAATGGTTTGCTGATATGATGTACCATACTGTGTGGGCTTATTTACACAGATTCAGCCACTTCCTTATTGGTACACCATGCCACCCTACTTTCAGATCTGCTATAAAGCCACGCTGTTTTCTCCTCAATGCAAATCCAGTAATCTTTCAACACCATCACAGATTTTAGTGAGCCTTGGGGATTTAGTGGCAATAACTGTCTGCTCAACAAATTGGAAAATTCTGAGTAATCCCAGGTTCATGAAACTCTACTTGGGCTGTGTCTACACTGGCCACTTATTCCAGAAAAGCAGCCGCTTTTCCGGAATAACTTGCCATCTTTCTACACTGGCTGCACATCGTCATTGTTTTTCCGGAAAAACTATGCTGCTCCCATTCAGGCAAAAGTCCTTTTCCGGAAAAACTGTTCTGGAAAAGGGCCAGTGTAGACAGCACAGTAGTCTTTTCCGCAAAAAAAGCCCTGATCGCGAAAATGACCATGCGGAAAAGCGCGTCTACATTGGCCATGGACGCTTTTCCGGGAAAAGTGCTTTTCCGGAAAAGCATCCTGCTAATGTAGACGCGCTTTTTCCAGAAATACTTATAATGGAAAACTGTTCCGTTTTAAGCATTTCCAGAAAGGGTGCCAGTGTAGACGTAGCCTTGGTGTATGATCCTGAGAGAGCATACTCTTTTTTGACTTTATTATAGAGCTGTGGAGCGGCTGAAATGGCGTCGCTTCTGCGGCGCATAGACCAGGGAGGGGGAGCATTTCACCGGCGAACCGCGTTGTAACGCGACCAGGAGGAGCCTCGGTGGCGCCCAGGTCAGAGACTGCCGATGATAGGAGGTGGGGGCAGGGCTTGATGGGAAGCACATCTGGGAAGAAGGTGACGGGGCACATAAGAAAGAGGGGCGGCGCAAGCGTGAAGGGCGGGGCACAAAGGACATGGGAAATAAAACAGGGGGCACCAGAAGGAGGGTATGTCTACACTACAAAGTTAGTTCGAACTAACTTAGTTCGAATTAGTTAATTCGAACTAAGCTAGTTCGAACTAACGCGTCTAGAACTAAAAACTAGTTCGAACTAGCGTTTTGCTAGTTCGAACTAGCAAGTCCACATTGAGTGGACTCTGAACAGGGCTTAAGGATGGCCGGAAGCAGTGCCGGCAGGGCATAAAAGGAGGACTTAGAGCATGGAGATGCTGTCTCAGGCTAGCCGAGGGCTGCGCTTAAAGGGTCCCGACCCCCACCCCGGACACACAGTTCTAAGGGGTGCCCCGCTTGCAAAGAAGTTCTGGCTTGGAGTGCCCTGAGTGCCCACACTGGGCACATCACACCACTCGGCCATCAGCCCAGCTGCACTTGCCGCAGGCTGCCATCTGGGGAGAGGGAGTAATTGGGGGGCTGCAGGAGAGCTTCCACCCCCAGAAGCCCGCAGAGCCAGCCCAGTCCTCCCCATCGGGGGCTCGTACCCCATTCCTCCCTCACCTCCTTCCACTTACCCTTCCCTAGCCCCCCTTCTTATTGATGTACAAAATAAAGATAACGTTTCTTCCAACATTGACTCTGTCTTTATTGAAAAAAACTGGGGGAGACTGGGAAAAGGAGGTGGGAGAGGGGAAGAGAAAGGCTGGGAGAGGGGAGGGCAACTAACATGATCAGGGGTTGGGAACAGGTCCCAGATGAAGAGAGGCTACAGAGACTGGGACTGTTCAGCTTAGAAAAGAGGAGACGGAGGGGGGACAGGATAGAGGTCTCTAAAAGCAGGGGTTGGGTGGAGAGGGTGCATTCAGAAAAGTTCTTCCTGAGATCCCATAAAGAAGGACTAGAGGACACCAAAGGAAAGGAATGGGTAGCAGGCTTGAAACTAGTAAGAGAAAGTTGTTCTTCTTGACAAAGCAAATAGTTAACCTGTGGAACTCCTTGCTGCAGGAGGCTGTGAAGGCTACAACTAGAACAGAGTTTAAAGGGAAGTGAGATCAAGTCATGGAGGTTGGGTCCATGGAGTCCTATTAGCCAGAGGGTAGGAGTGGTGTCCCTGCCCAAAGTTTGTGGAAGGCTGGAGAGGGATGGCACGAGACAAATGGCTTGGTCATTGTCTTCGGTCCATCCCCTCCAGGGTCCCTAGGGTTGGCCGCTGTCGGCAGACAGGCTACTGGGCTAGATGGACCTTTGGTCTGACCCAGGACGGCCATTGTAAGCTCAGGGCTCAGTGTCGGGGGTCTCAGTGGACCCCCTTGATTTTCATGCACACCTGGTCCTGGGTGGCCAGGCTGGCAGCTCTCCTGCCCTAGACGGCCACTTTCCTGTGCCTAGTGCGGAGATCGTGGACGAGGTCCACGATGTCCTCACTAGCCCAGGAAGGTGCCCTCCTCTTGCGGTCCAGGGCAGTAATTCAAATTACTCTACTGACAAACTATTTTTTTCCCAAAATGAGAAATTACAATCTCTCTGGGTATGTCTACACTAGAAAGTTAGTTCGAACTAACGGACGTTAGTTCGGACTAACTTTAATAGGTGCTACACTAGCGCTCCGCTAGTTCGAATTTGAATCGAACTAGCGGAGCGCTTAGTTCGAACTAGGTAAACCTCATTTTACGAGGACTAACGCCTAGTTCGAACTAGCTAGTTCGAACTAGGCGTTAGTCCTCGTAAAATGAGGTTTTCCTAGTTCGAACTAAGCGCTCTGCTAGTTCGATTCAAATTCGAACTAGCGGAGTGCTAGTGTAGCACCTATTAAAGTTAGTTCGAACTAACGTCCGTTAGTTCGAACTAACTTTGTAGTGTAGACATACCCGGAGAAGGGGAGGGAGGAAACCAGCAAGGAGGCGAGGTGAGCAAAGCCTGGCGAGGGCTTGGGGGAAGGAAGTGACCCAGGGTATGGCTGAGTGGATGCCCGAGGGTTGGTGTATTTAGGGATAACGCCCCACCAACCGGAACGGGGAAGGATCCCTGTCCTTAGGGCCCTGGGTCAGGACCTGGAGAGTGGGTGGGCCTAGGTCCCCCTTCCTCCCCGGGGTCAGAGTTGCTATGCTGTGTGCAGAAAGCGACTCTTGAACTGGATGTAAGAAACCGTGGGGATGAAACAGGTGTCGTGGGAGCGTGATTGAGGGTAACCTGGTCACCTAGGAATGAGCACGCTGGGGTGCAGAGTGCCACAGACATTAAAAAAGAACACTTTTAACTCAAATTCATGACTTAAGATCAGTATCATTTCATGTTTTATTTACAGTACAGAACTATGACAGACATCCTTTCAGAGACCCAGCAAATGTAAATATTTCAGAGCAATAATTCTTGATATAGTATCCCTCCATCCACAAAAGCTTTACAACAAGGAATGTTCCTGTGGTATAGGTACCAGTTCTTCCAGGAGTATATACTTCAGCCCAGTCCTTAAGGAGACACTCTTTGGTGACCCTAGGTAACACAGAATGAATATGTCTGTTTATTAACTGGAGACCAATGGAGGTCTGTATGTTCATTACAACTAGGTGAGACAGTGATACAATATTGAGGAAGGGACCCCTGTGATGACAGCCTTTTATCTTAAGCTGATTTCTAACTTTCGTTATAGAAAAATCTTCAAGGAGAGGAAATATGACTGTAAATATATACATACTGTATTGAAAGCAGAGACAATGACTAATGTGACATTCATGAAAAAAGATGCTTTCCAAACAATTTAAAATTTAATAAAAGGGCAATGCGAAGCCTTTGTGTGGGAAAGATTTGTTGGTTTAGGTCTGCATGTTTGAGCTTTAGGCTTTAGACTCTAGCACTGCTGCCTACTGTTTTGAAGTAGCCCTTTCACACACAAAGAGCTACTTCAAAACAGTAGGCAGCAGTGCTAGAGTCTAAAGCCTAAAGCCCAAACATGCAGACCTAAACAACAGTTATATAGAAGCAAACCGCAGCTAGAAACTGTTAACTGGTTGGAAAAGTCACATGGCGGTTTCCTTTTCAAACAATGGCTTTGCATTTTAAAAATTTACATAAAGTTATGTTATCTGAATAATAATCAGCTGACTTTCTAAATGCATAAGTACTGATTCTAAAAATAAACAGGGATTCCTTCCCTCACTAGCACACACTAACCTGGAATTCTTTGAAATGTTTTCCCTAACAGTGCTTCAGTTTAGGTTTGCATCTTTGAATGCAAACTTTAGGTAGCGATCCTCATTTGGTCCACACATACACTCTAGCTATCTCCATAACTTGTACCAAGAATATGTATGTATCAGGGCTAGGCAAGATGCAGTCTCAGGCCAGATCCAGCCCACCTAACACTTGGATCCTGCCCATGGACAGCATATGGCTGCTTTCTGTTTATAGCCTGCTACCTGTGCCACTGAATTTCCAGGCAGTGGCTCAGGCAGCCAGATCCTTTTTAAATGGCTCACAGCTCCCATTCACAACACTACCCCGGCAGAGACCATAGCCTTGAGACCTTTAAATAGTTTTAACAACCCTGGGCAGCTGACAGAGAACGTGGTAGCAGCAGGGCCTGGAGTCGTGAGCCCTTTGCTGTGTTTTTAATTCAAAGCCTCTAACCCCAGACAACTATGGGGGAAGGCTAGCCCCCAGGCCTCACAATTTCTGTCCCAGACTCCTCCCCCTCTGGGATGGAGCCAGCCTGTGATTACCTATCCAAATTAATTAAGTGCCCCCCTTAAGAGAATTATTGCCCACCCTGGTATATAGGGCAGTTCAGGATGAACTGCCTTCAGTTCCTTCTCTCACACAAAAGTTTATGATCTGTTAGAGTGGACTATGACCCAAGGAGGAGGTTGAACATTAGTCACCTTGTAGCAAGAAAGAATACAGCTAGAAACCCTACTGTAGAGTCTTTTGTGAGATAAGGGCCCTCTAACTCTGCCCACAAATCACAGTCTGGGAGAGACTCTGAAGGGTTTAATAATCCTTTCCAAGTAAGTGGCCCACACTTTTCTGATATTTATGGTGTGAAGAGTAGCTTCTTCTCTAGCTTGAGGTATAAACCAGAAGTTGAATTGCCTTTCTTTTTGTGAAAGTCCAAAGGTACCTTGAGTAAAAACAAAATATATTTATGAAAGATGGTGTGAGGAAGATCAGTCATTAAAACATCATACTCATAAATTCTTTGAGTAAACAGCCACTAATGTTATGTCTACACAGCAGGCAGTTATTTGGAAATAATGTCAAAATACTGTCAAGCTGGAGGACTTCTTACTCTGACTCCTGTAACCCTCATCGTATGAGAAGTAAGGGAAGTCAGAGGAAGAGTGCTCTATTTTGAAAAAAAGTGTTGTGTAGACATACCCAATTTTGAAATAAGCTATTTCGAAATAAGCTTCACAATTGATGTAGCTCAAATTTGCATAGTTTATTTTGAGTTAAGCCCTGCTGTGTAGACGCACCCCTAAAGTCCTGGTGATTATGAAGCCAAGATGAGGATCTGATGGGCTATGCACCAGTTTAATAGCTCTACTGAGTCTGCAAAAAGGGGGGGAAGGCACTTGCTACTCCCATGCAATTTATATTGGATATGTTGTCTACCAATCATATCTTGATGTATTGGCCTTTGATCACAGGAAGCAAATGTTTGCTGGTGTATCTGATTGCTCTGAGTACCAGTAGGTTAATGTGGAGAATGATTCTTGAATGGTCCATTGTCCTAGAATAATATGATTTGGAAGATGAGCTCTTCACCCAATGAGAGCTGCATCTGTAACTATAGTTGAAGTAGGGGTGTTGAAGAATGAATGGGACTAACATTCATACACTGCATGGCTCCTTCCACCAATTAGGAGTGTCTAGAACTCCTGAGAAATCAAAAATAATATGCCAATACAGTGTTTGTTGGGAGTGTCAACAGTTTGCACTCCAGGATGTACGCAACCAAGGAGTAAGGTGGTATGCAACATTACCTAGAGGTTGCAAAACACATTTTTGGTTGTTTTCTGGGAGTTTATTTGAACCTGAGAAATGAGGTTCAATGAGTCTACCCACTGATAAGCAAGCCCTGCATGTCTGGGTATTTGAGGTGGCTCCCAAAATTCTATAGGTTGAATTGGCATCAGAGTGGACTTTTCTCTGTCAAACGGAAAGGTCTACGTCTAGACTGGCATGATTTTCCGCAAATGCTTTTAACGGAAAATTTTTCCGTTAAAAGCATTTGCGGAAAATCATGCCAGTCTAGACGTAGACCTTTCCGTTTGACAGAGAAAAGTCCACTCTGATGCCAATTCAACCTATAGAATTTTGGGAGCCACCTCAAATACCCAGACATGCAGGGCTTGCTTATCAGTGGGTAGACTCATTGAACCTCATTTCTCAGGTTCAAATAAACTCCCAGAAAACAACCAAAAATGTGTTTTGCAACCTCTAGGTAATGTTGCATACCACCTTACTCCTTGGTTGCGTACATCCTGGAGTGCAAACTGTTGACACTCCCAACAAACACTGTATTGGCATATTATTTTTGATTTCTCAGGAGTTCTAGACACTCCTAATTGGTGGAAGGAGGCACACAAAATAAAGCTAAGGACTTCTTGCAGGTTAAGGGTGTAAGAAAATGCTATGAGAAGCCAGTCTTTGATGCAGGAGAAGACCACTATACACATTTGTAAGGACTCTGGAGATGATAGACAGATTGGGGCAATCAGTATTGAACATGCTGCTGACCAAAGATTAAGCATGGAAACATCTTGTGGGTTGATTGCATCACAATATGAAAATATAGGTCAAGAAGCTAAGATCTAACCCCTTGGATCTAGAGAAAGTATTATAGTTTAGTGAGTCACCATCCTGAACTTTTGCATTTTGAGGAAAGTACTTAACATCCTGAGATCTAAGATAGACCTCCATCTATTCTTCTTTTTGGGAACCAGAAAGTACTCAGAATAGAACCTCCCCCTCCACACACACACACACACACACACCCTCCATATTGAGTAGGTACAGGTTCTATGGTTCCTGTGTGAAGGAGAGATAAAACTTCTTGTTTCAGAAGATGTTCATGTGTCCCTGCAAAGGTATGGAGAAGGGAGGTTGCAGGTGGGATGGAGTAGCCCAATGTTACAACCTCAAAAAACACATGTGTTTGAAATGATCTATTCCCAGGATGGTTGAAAACAGGAGAGATGGTCCCCAAAGACTCCATGTACTGACCAATGCCACCTCCCAGTGGCTAGTGGGGAACCCCCATCCACTGACAACTCTGGATTCCAGGTCAGGAACTCTTAGTTGGCAGCCATCATTTACATAATCTCTACCCTCACTGTTCGTTCCCTGGGTTTTTTCAACTCTGCCTTCCTTGGGCATTCTTTGCAACTCCTCCAGGTGAACCCTTCCCACAGGGATAGGATACCTAAGCTTTTACTCCTCCACTGGGATTTCTCCTACCCACCTCTCTGCCCAGAGGGAATGACTGCAGAGTCTCTCCCTGCAGCCCACTTCTGTTCTCATTCTTTTATAGAGGCCCAACCTGCTCCTCCTCAGCTGAGCTTCATCTTTCATTATGCTTTTACTGATCTCTCCTCCACGTGCCACATTCAGAGTTAACTGATCTACTTCAACCTACTCTGCCCCACCTGGGCACCCCATTAAAGCTCTGTTAGCCTTAAAGTTGTCTCCCACAATTCTATCCCAAGTGGGCTGCAGAGGAAATTGACAGAGCACTCTTGTTTCTCTCGTCTGCTACATAAAGGGAGAGCCTGGTCCTGGATCTGATGAAAACCACATAGAACACTCCATCACAAGTTTTTATCTTCATTCTTTCTAGACCTACTCCTAAATCCAATACAGATTCAATACTTAGACTGGCCATACATGACCCCTAAATAAAGAAGACAGCTAGAATGGCCATCGCTAGCAGGAGTAGACTCCCCGAAAATTATGTAGTTGTGATGGATAAAAGGAGCGCTGGCCAATACCCAGTGACTGAAGGGTTAAACTCAGGTAGCTAGCAAAGGTATTGGCAGGGAGCCAGGGAGCCTCGTTCCACAAGGCATACAGATAGTTCGGAATGGCTTGCTAGTTCGAACTATCTACCCCGTGCCGCGTGTAGCCGCGCGGCACGGGGTTCGAACAAGCCGGCATTTAAAAATGGCGCCGGCCGGCTTATGCAAATGAAGCCCGGGAAATTCAAATCCCGGGCTTCATTTGCAAGTGCGGTATGCCTACATTACCACCCTAGTTCGAACTAGGGTGGTAGTGTAGACATACCCTAAGAGTTGTTCCCAGAGATTTTCTCGGTGTTTCAATTTGTTTTACACCTAGCAACCAAGTATGCTTTATCAACTATAACTTTCGTTTTGTTAATAAAAATCACCTTTTTAGGGCAATGATTTGATTCTTGTGTCCTGGAAAGTAACGTGTGTGTGTGTGTGTGTATGTGTGTGTGTGTGCGCGCGTGCGTGTGCGCGTGCAAGTGCACA